TTTGGGTGCAAGTTTGGCTTTGGGAAGTGTTTTGGAGCTTCTCGGTCCAAGCAGTGAGCTGATCATCACCAGTTGTCATATAAAATCCACTTTTCATCACATGTCACAATCCCATTGGGAAATAGTTCATTGTTGTTGTATACAAGAAGAGAATACAACACTTCCAGTTGCCATTCAAGACCAAAAACTCTCAGGACCTCTCGATGCTATAGAAACAAGTTACAATGAGCCTGAACTGCACCTTCAGAATTCTCTAGATTAGAAGTGGTTTCTATTTTTCTAGGGTCATGTCTTCCTCACACTTGAGGCCTGACCAAGAACTCTCCAAACACATTCTGCTCTGTTCTAACAGTAGCACCAGGGCAGCCACTGATTTTCTGTACAGCAAGTGTCTAGCTGGGAGTGAAATGACACTCTCTCCTTCATTCACTTACCTCCATTCTTAGGTGAAGGAGGAAAGAAACTCTTCATTTGTGCTTAATCCATAGATGAGGAGGAATAATCTTCTTTACCAACAACACTGCATTCCTCACAATAAAGAGAAGACCTTAAATTCCCTCTCTTGTATCACATGTCTAATTTTATTTCTTCTGAAATTCAGGTACCATTTAGAAAGACTGCCTCACAGTATGAATGTCTGAGTACTTTACTAAATCATGTTTTTAAGACAGAGAGAGATTAGTGTGAAGTTGGCTAAATAGGTGTCTTTCATACCACATTAAAAATTAAGATGACATCATTTAGCAATCTTGCTTGCCATGAACCATCAGCCATTTCTAATTTTTGTTTCTATGCTGTAACCACCAAATAAATTCCTCAGTTTCCAAGGCAGTTGGAATAGCAATTGCCTTTCACTTGACTAGACTACTTTGCCTAGTCAATTAAAGTTATTTTCTATAAAAATGTAATTTAAATTTTTCCCAAAATGCACCTGATTCAATTTCATCATTCTTTCCAGAGAAGCCTTTTCTCTTAGGTTAACCTTGGAAGTTAATTTTGAATTGTTCATTTATCCATTCAACCTACATATAATGGCACCTACTACATGCATAGCACTAAGGTTGGCTCTGGGGCTACAGAAATGTCCAGGCATCTTCACTGTCCTTTTAGAGCTTACATGTTAGCTGGGGAAAGAAAGTACATAGGGATACAAATAAATAAGGTGCAGATTGTGGTAAGCAATAATAGGTGCTATTAGAGAACAAACTTTAAATACAGAAGTTGGGGAAGACCTCTCTGATGAGGTGATATTCCATCTGAGATGAGAAGTATGAGAAAAGGACAAGCAAGGTGAAGGGCTTACAGAATTGTATTCCAGGTGTTGAGGCTTCAGTGTGTGAATAAGTATGTGATATGTTATTCTAGAAAATGGCAGGAGGCCGATATCACCAGTGTTTGTTGACAGAGGGGGAGAATCACGTATGGTCTTAGAGGCCCCACTGAAAGATATTGTTTCTATAATCACAGTACAATGAGAAACCATTGAAGGATTTAAGCAGGGAAGTGAAATGAAGTCATCCATTTTTTAAAAGACCAATCTGATTTCTCAGTACAAAACAAATTGTAGGAAGCAACAGTGAAAGCAGCAAGACAATTAAATTCTACCACAGTTGACAGACAAGAGATATTGGTGATTAGGACAAGGACGCTGTAAGTGGAAACAGAGAGAGATGGTCCTCTGAATTGATGTTGTGTCCACACAAAACTCAAATGTTGATACCCAAAGACCAATGTGATGTTATTTGGAAATAAGACCTGTGAGGAGGTAATAAAAGTGGGCCCTAATCCAATTGGACTGTTGTCCTTATAAGAAGAGAAAGAAATGCCAGAGCTTTCTCTGGACCAAGTAAGGACACAGCAAGTGGGTGCCCATCTACAAATCAAGAAAAGTGCCCTTACCAGAATCTCACCATACTGGCAACTTGATCTTGGACATTCCAGCCTCTCAAACTATAAGAAGAAATTTCTGTAGGGTAAGCCTCCCAGTCTGTGGTATTTTGCAATGGCAGCCTGGGCAGCCTAGGACAGATAGATATATGGAGAATGGTTTTACCAATACCACCACCAGGGTTTATTAATGGATCACATATGAGTGATGAAAGAAAAAGGGAATTCAATGATGGTTTCTATTTTTATCTTGTTTTAATTTATTTTTTGGCTTGATCACTCACAGAATGGTGGCACCACTTATGAACAATTAAAAACAAAATAAAACACTGGAAGAAAATAAGACCTGGCTGGCAAGACAGAGATAAATCAAGAATCTCACTTTGGATATATCTATTTGGATGTTTCTGAGACATAGGAGAGAACATAAAAAGTAGATATTTGCCTACACAAATCAAGATCTCAGAGGAGAGTTCTGGGCTAAGATATAAATATTGAGGTGGTCAGGATCCAGGACCTATGTAAAATAATATTAACAAATGAGAACACTGAAAAAATGTACCAAGAGAGATGAAGGTCAACATTTGAACAGAAATTTATAATGAAAATGGATAGAGAGTGAAACAAGAGGAGGAAAATCAAGAGTAGCCTGGAAAGGAGTCTACAGGATAATGTATCAAGAAAGGAGTTTGTGATTTTAACCAGAGCAATTTTGGGGGAGCTGCAGACATAAAATATATTTTAGTGATGCATATTATCCCCTTCTCTCAATTTTTATTCATTTTTCTATGAATGTTTGAGTTGATTTCTAATTTTATTACATTGTGGTCTGAGAAGATGCATGGTATAATTTCTATTTTTCAAAATTTTTTGAGACTTGCTTTGTGGTCGAGGCTATGGTCAATCTCAGAGAATGTCCCATGAGCTGATGAGAAAAACATATATTTAGTGGTTTGGGGGTGGAATGTTCTGTAAATGTCAGTCATTTACAACTCATTTGTCCCAGGGTTCTGTTTAAGTCCAATGTTTCTTGGTTTATTTTCTGCTTGGAGGATCTGTCCTGTTCTGTCAGAGGGTTGTTGATGTACTTGGATATTACAGGGCTGCTGTTTATATTTTTATTTAGATCAAGTGGAATTTGCTTTATGAATCTGGGTGCACCTGAGTTAGGTGCATAAATATTTGGAATCGTTATAACTTCTTGTTGAATTGTAGCCTTCACGATTATTCAGTGACCATCTTTGTCTTTCATTACTTTTGTTGATTTGATAACTAAATTATCTAAAATCATAACTGTTATACCAGCTTTCTTTTGGCTTCCATTTGTATGAAATATTGTTTTCCTTCCCTTCATCTTGAGTCTGAATATATCCTTGCGCTTAGATGTGTTTCCTGAATATAGACATGAAATACATTGGACATGGATATGGACTGAATGAGGAAATTTTTGTTGTGTTTTATAAAATTTTGCTCACATTTTTTTAGCTATTTGAGAAGTAAGAGTTTTAGGAGATAGTATATGAAGATAGACATAATCTAATTATGAATGAAATAATTGATGTTTCAGGGAAAATGCAAGGGAAATGACCAAATCAGTTATAGCCTTAAAAAAAGATATAAGGAATATGATCAAGGCTGACATAGAAGTATTGATTTGTCTTTGACAAGTGAAGGAGCAACTTCTTTCATTTTAACAGGAAGAAGGAATGTAAAAATGTAATTATAGGAATGTTTACATATTTCATGCTAAAAAGATGAGGAAGTAACCAATAATTTAATACTTCAATTATTTAAGAATAAGCTGCCTTGTCTTTTGAGGGAGATGTTGAATTCCATTCTTCTTTTATATTGACCAATATTTCAATGTTCAATTGGAATGACTTTTATGCTAGCATTATACTGTTCAAACAATTAGAAAATGAATAATTATAGATTATACATGAAATGCACAAACAATTGTTGGTGAAAATAACTCATTATTTATTATCTTTCATCCTTTCATAAAGAATGATTGTCTATTACTGCTACCTAAGCACAATAGCAGCTCTCTTTTAAGTTGGATGTTACATGAACTATCAAGTGGGAAAAACATTTTTTTTTTAATAAAGCAACTCTACTTCAGTCAGACCTATCAAACAAGAACAACATTAATTACAGTGCAAAATCATATCTTTCAAATTCTGTATAGCAGTTACTGTTACTTCTATTTATTGTGATAAAAATCCTGTAGCATACACATAATAAATATACATAATTTTATGTATATTTATTACACACACATGCTGTTAACATAACCTAAGGCTATACGATGTAATTTTACAGAAATAAATACTTTATGGATAGTTTACATAATGCTTAGCCTCAACTGCACAGTAAATCCTAGGATATCAGGAAATATATGGCATGTTTTAAACAATTCATAATTTTAAATGAGCAATAGTAAATGTAATAATTGCTTACAGTATAATATAGTCAATTTTTCAGTAAAAGCAATTTTAAAATACAAAAAGTACACAATACTAAATCTTCCCCCAGACCTTCTTAGATGAAATGATTTTAAAGATGGGTTTAGAAAGATGTGTAGACATTTAGCAAATGTAAATGCATCCCAGCACATTTTAATAATAATAACATATCCAAAGTCTTAAGACGCAATGATATGGGCAGCTTGGATTGAATGTTCATTTAAAATTCTAGGTGGGTAGAGAATGATAGATTGATTTTTCTCCAAAGCAAGTTTAGTTTTTGTCCATGGCTTCTACCATGTACAAATTCATCCTTTCATAGCAGATTTGGATACCAAATCTATTAAACAGTAATTAAGTTAACTACTAGAAACTGGAAATTAGGTAGTCTAATAAAACGACATGAAAATGATTACATCTTACCTTGATGATTCCAGTGCTACAGATATTTAAATATATCAAGATCTTCCAAATTAGCATTTTTTTACCAAAGTAAATATACTGTACTAGTTCTAAATTTCATGTCTATCTGATATTTGTTTCAAGTGTATGAGACCTGAAGATTTGTCCTAAGCCTTAGTTGCTTCTCATACAATATTATTGCATTATTTACAATGATTGTTATAAAATAATTGTTCCTTTTCCTAGATTTGGCAATGTGGAGGCTCATTGGAGATTGTGACTTGCTCCCATGTTGGTCATGTTTTTCGGAAGGCAACTCCGTACACTTTCCCTGGTGGCACTGGTCATGTCATCAACAAGAACAACAGGAGACTGGCAGAAGTTTGGATGGATGAATTTAAAGACTTCTTCTATATCATATCCCCAGGTACACAATTCTATCATTTTTCTTTCTCTACAGGGAAAAATAAAGTTTTAAACATGCTGAATATATGTTTCATTATTACTATTATTCTATTAGTTAAAAGAAAACGTTGTTTATTACCATAATATTGCAACAAATTGAGAAAGTTGTACTATAAAGTTGATTTTGATCTAAATTGAGAAAACCTATTTATCTCAAATGTCTATATATTCTTTTTTATTTTGTCTCAACCCAAATATTATGCTAGAGAAATGGAGCAAGCAGTATAGAAAAATCCAAATTTAATTCACATTTATGAACTCCATTTAAGAATTTTCAAAATATATCTGAGTAGGGAAAAGTCAAATGATTTCATACATTAACAAGATGGTTTCATTTATACAGACGTTAAAATTTATATTTTTGAGGAATATTTAATGACAGTAAATTGTTACTCATCAATATAATTAAGTGAAAAAGAATAACACAGGACTATACAATGTTTTACTACCTTAGTTACAGAGAAATTTATATAGAGAGAAGTAGAAGTAAATGTAGGCTGTCAGTGGTAGGTAGGATTATGAGTAATTTCATTCTTTTCCTTATACTTTTCTATATTTTCTAAATTTCCTCAATATTCAAACATTACTTATTTAAAAAATTTTATATCATTAAAAAATAAAAAATAAGACATTGTGAGAAAATCTCATTTATAGGTGGTGGTAATGAAATTAATGATTTCATTCTTTATAATTTCTAGACTTTCTTCAATAGTCACATTACATATTTTTTTAAAAAGCCAAAAAAAAAAAAAAACCTGAGGCATTAAAAGGAGATTGGGAATAAGGATACAAGAGGAAGACACAAGGTTACCTTCAAGATCTCAAAGGGTAAACGAGGAGACCAAAATAAATTTAACTGTATTGATCAAATAGTTTGAAGTGTTCCATTTTTGATAGTTCATGTGTAAACTTTATGATCATCAACGTAATTATTACATGACTCGTAAGAACAATAACAAAAATTCATGCCTATACCCTCTTTTCACTAATGTAATCTACTACATGACTTAGAAAAGCCAGTTTGTATTCTAATTGAAAGTCTCGGAATTTTGAAGAAATATATAAGGCAATTAAGACTCTTTTATAGAAGAGTCTTTTACAGAAGTATAATGAAAAGGAACAGCAGTATGAAGTTTCTTTTTAAGATCCACCATTACTCTATAGAGGGAGAAAAAAATGAGGGCATTGTATACGTAATGTGTGATTAGGAGAAGGACTTTTTCACACATTTTTAAGCCTCTTCTATAGTAAAAAATCTATTGCCAGGAACACTATTTTACACATAGCTGTATTTTCTTTACAGTAGAAATCCAGTCCAGATGTTCAGAGTTGAGTTCAACAAGAGCATGTAAAATTTGCAGCAAGGCAGTGACATTTATATAACCTTTTCGTTTTCTTTTGATGATACTTTTTGAATCTAAATCATAACTTGTAGAAATATATAAGCTCAAATATGAATAAAGATGTAATGGATGAAGAAGTGTGTTTTGTGTGATTATATGCAGTTTACATTCAGGAATATGAGTAATTGAGAATAATTGTAATCATATGTATTATATTCACCCTTGATGAATATTTTTAAAAAATGATGTGTTAGTCTTTTGTCTAATTTTCCATTGAATGAAAGAGGCAGATAAAATGGTAGAACCATTTCTCAAGTATAATGAAATGACTAGCTTTAGAGTATAAAGGATGAAAAAACATGCCTGTTATCTGGAACTAATGGCTTTATGTTGCTCCACGAGAACTGTTTGTATATCCTGAAAAGTGCAGTTTTTAAATTACAATGAATATCATTTGGAAGGTTATTGTTCTTATAAAGCAGACTTACTTTAAATCTAGAAAGGTATTTTGAAAGCAGAAAAGGGAATTTTGGAGAATATGCTGAAAATATCTAAGAATGTCCTAAAGGGCATTTAAGCTTACGTGTATCTTAAGCTTATGGCAAACACAGAGGAATGATAAATATATGAAGAGTACCCTTCACCTTTATTTTAATAGTGGGTCCTTAACCAGGGGCTGGATCAGAGAGGTGAGACAAAGCCTTCCCATTTGCCACAACTCTTGTGAAGAGATTCCCTGAGAATGGCGGAATCTCCCTGCTATAATGTGTGTGTGTTGAGGGGGAGGAGGCAGGTGTTGGGGGGAGCAGGGGGACAGGAAACAATAAATTGCTTCTCAGTGGAAATGGAAGAATGCAAGCAGGCTGGAAACTAGAGCCAGATATTTAAAAACAATTCAAGCTCTGGGCAAATTTCAGATAATCCAAAAACAGATAAAACGAGTTATATTGAGGAAGTCAAGAATCTGTTGCTTTTATGATAACAATTATTTAGTTAGGCAATAGATAGTGGTGGTTTCTGTAAATTAAAATCAAAATCAATATTTCTTTGCTACCCTCTTGCATTGTTGAGTTTCTATTTTTCATCTCTTTGGGAAATGCATGAGTTTGTAACCAAAAATTGGTGTGTGTTTGGGGAAGAGGGGTGGGAGTTACATTCATTCACATCCACAGTTATAATTTTATCTTTTATTTATGAAAAACTCTGAAGAGTTTACAAGAGTTTATATTGAGTTCTCTGTAATCTCCTTAACAATGTGGCTAAGGAAAGGGCCATGGTTCTTTCTAGAAGCACCTCTGTACATTTGTTATAATTTGTCCAACATACATGTTTTTGAGGAGATTTCCAATTTTAACATATCTGCTTCTGTTACCAAATTTTATTCCTCACCTAATTCAGTTTCTCAAAATTCAATCTTTAAATATATAGCCATTATTAATTCTGACAACAACTTCCTATATACTCTGTAAAATATTACCTGCCTATTTTATTGTTTGCCTTCAGACATGCTCTACCCCTATCTGCCTTGAATTATCTGGGTATTCTTTCTGTGTACTCCCTGAAGTTTGATACCATGACCAACTGATCATTACCTCTTATCATATTGTTTTAATTTTTATTACTTTTCTCTACATCCAAAGTTGTTAAGAAATGTATATTCGCGGTGCCTAGCAACTTCCCTGTCACCTTGTAGTTTTCTTTTTTTTTAGGTTTGCTAAATAATTAGAAGAATGAATATATGAATTTTAAAAGGGAGCCACTTTTGTTTCTTCCTTGCTATTGAATTTTCCATGATGTCTGGTTTATACCAGGGAATCTCTTCACAAGAGTTGTGGCAAATGGCAAGGCTTTGCCTCACCTCTCTGATCCAGCCCCTGGTTAAGGACCCACTATTAAAATAAAGGTGAAGGGTACTCTTCATATATTTATCATTCCTCTGTGTTTGCCATAAGAAAAGAAAGTTCCATTGGCTTACATGTATGCTTAGAGTTTTATGATTGAACCATAATCATACGTGCACACTGTAATATAACCTTGCCCTCCAAGTCTAATACAAAAGTCTAACAGGCACGATTAAAGCAGACAGTAAAATCATGTATTAGAGCAGCATAATACAAGAGCCAACAACTTAAGATAAGGTTACTTTTATATGTCTTGATTTTTATTTTTCTTATAAGCCCTATTAATTTAAAGTTAAACTAAGATACATAAATAACTACATGGGTGAATAACTTTTATCTGAATTTTTTCATAATATGTCCTAATTGTTTTGGCCTATGCCCATTAGCCATTCAGCAATATTGACAGAGTTGGCTGCGTATATTTTCTAAATAGGCATATAACTGAAGAACAGAAATACTTTGAAATAATGTTGAAGAATAGATTTGAAACATTTGTTTAGTTTGTTTTCCAACCGTCTTTTTAAGGATGCAAATACTATAGCATCATCGATTTTTAAAGCCCAATAGGCTCTTAAAGCCTGAGGCAGCTTTTATTAGTAATTGGGCTGTTTCAGCTTGGACCAATCTGATTGTCCTAGCAAATCCTTTGAAATAAAGTAATGTAAGCAAAAACTGCTCTTCTCAGAATACCCCATTATAAATAGCAACATGTTTTTTCCCTGTTGGTCACAGGTAAAAAGCTTAACAACTTGAAAATAGACTGTAGTCATAACACCAACCATATATTTGAAATGCTGACTTTTATAAATACTGATTTTCTTTCTTTGGGGAAGTAGATTTCTAACTGTATATCAGTGGACATGGTGATTAGAGACTATCCTTATATAACCCCAGGTTCTTCTTCCCTTTCTTAATGGACAGCTTGTGTTCTTTTTTTTTATTTCAGAATATTATGAAGGTACAAACCTTTTGGTTACATATAATGCCTTTGCCTGTCCCAAACTAGGGCTACAAGCATGCCCTTCCCCCATGCAATATGCTCCACATTCATTAGTTGTGAGTTTACCTACCCCCATCATCCATTTCCTACCTGACCAGCACAGAATGAATATTAATACCAAGTTAGCACCTTAGTGTTGATCACTTAGTACCAATTTGATGGCAAGTCCATGTGGTGTTTTTTGTTTTGTTTTGTTTTGTCTTGTTTCATTTTTGTGATACCTCACTTTGAAGGATTGCCTCAAGCACTATTCAGGAGAATATAAGAGGTGCTAGTTCCCCATTGCTTTTTGTAGTTGAGTAGTACTCCATGGTATACATATACCACATTTTATTAATCCACTCATGTATTGATGGACACTTGGGTTGTCTCCACATCTTTGTAATTATGAACTGTGCTGCTATAAACACTTCAGTGTACATGTCTTTATTATAGAATGTCTATTTTTTTCCTTTGGGTAGATGCCTAGTAGTGGGATTGCTGGATCAAATGGTATTTCTACTTTTAGCTCTTTGAGATATCTCCAAATTACTTTCCACAGGAGTCATACTAATTTGCAGTCCCACCAGCAGTGTAAGAGTGTTCCAATCTCTCCACATCCACGCCAGCATTTGTTGTTTTGGGACTTCTTGATAAAGGCCATTCTCACTGGAGTTAGGTGATATCTCATTGTAGTCTTGATTTGCATTTCCCTAATGATTAGAGATGTTGAGCACTT